AAAAAGAAATTATATAGCAATAACCTGCTGTTTCAAAGCAGATAAAAATTTTTATCATATAAATAGAATTCATAACAAACAGACAAAATATTTCTGCATGTTTTTTTATAAAAAAATGTAAATTGATAACTTCGGTCCAGCAAATGACAAAAGGACAGGTCATTATATTTTGCCCTACAAGTTACAAGTAGAAAACAAGCTAACTAATCAATGTAGGGCTCACTAAATCGTATTGTATAGTTAGTTATGTCTATTATATTACATCCACAGGTGTCTGGAACGACAACATTTTGGACGACTTCACCTATCCTAACGGCACGGTACTGCAGGCACCAGAGGACAGAAATCTAACAGAGGAAGAAATCTTCCCATGGGGATTATCATGTAAGAAACACGACATTAATTATGTTTACATTTTTTCTCTAGACAATTGTATACTTATTGTTTACTTATTCGAACAGAATTGTGTAGATATTAGATGTGTGGACACATGTTATTTTTGTGTAATAATTTGCCATACAGTCCCATCATTATTTATCCATATATTAAAACAAGAAGAACATTAATGCATTATTTTTTGTAGGGCAAATCAGACAAGACGAAAGTCTATTCACCTACGAGGATGGACAAAACGCCACTTCCTTTGCCAAGCCAGATTTCAGGCCAAAGTTTCTCAACCAACTACTAGCAGCTGTCTCCCCCGATAAACGAAGCGAGGCTGAGGTTCTGTGTGGCACAAATGTAGAATGTCTCTTTGACTTTCTCAGCACAAACGACGCAGAAGTGGGAGAACAAACCCGATCAAGTATTGTGACTTTCGATTCAGACGCAGAGACACTGGGTTAGTCTACGGTGCCCTTTTTAGATACGGTTATTCTTTTACAATTTTATAGTGGACTTCTTCAAGTTTGATACAAGCAAATGCATGTATCACTAGTCAGTTGCACTGTAAAAGAAAACTAACATAATTGGTACGGATATAGAAATATGAATGACAGAAATCCTTGAAGACACCTTGTTCACTACTGACATAATCATGGTATTTTTTCTTGCAGCCAACTTTCCACCCAACATCACAACCAACGCCACAGTCAATGGAATAGTTGGACAGCAGGTGGAACTACAGGTCATTGCTGTTGACCCTGAGGACAATCCTTTGAGATATTCCATTGGCAACGTCAACAACATTCCTGGGGCAACCATCAACCCTGGTATGTATATTGTCCGATGTGTGGTAACTTTTTTTTTATTCAGTCGCTCTCTGACATTTTCGTGGAGATCCGTCAAACCATCTGAACGCTTTCATGTCATGATGAAGCATTCCTTTGTATTTTCTTTTCCTCAAAACCACATCTGTGTTACCGCATTACAAAGTAGTACTTCCGGGTACAGAAGAACTGTTGATATGCCAGGAATACATATAAGTTGACAGCATATGGGCGAGTGTAAGATTGACAGGCAGGATAAAAGCAGACCAACAGTTAAGACACAGGAAATGGCTGTGTACAGAAGGTGGCAGAAAGGTAGCAAGCTTATTATTTCATGAGGGAGACACTAATACTACAAAGTCTGAAAAACCCAATCCTTATTTCTTTTTAGTTAACGGTATCCTTAGGTGGACTCCCAGAAGCCTACTACCAGTGCAACTAGAGATTATTGCCCAAGACAACAAAGGAGCCTCTTCGTCGACCTACCCCATGGTGAAACTCTGCAATTGTCAACACGGTGGAATCTGCAACTTTGTCACTGTGGACTTTACTGGAGACATGAACCCTGTGGGACAGTTTCAGGTCTGTCTTGAAAAAAGTTTAGCACGCCAAGACATTTTTTTATATTATTTACTTTATCATTTCACCTTTCTTCTATTGTAGAGGAGAATCTTTACTTTTTATTTTTATACACATGCACAAGTATACTACAAGTGGAACATATGCAGCGATTCTACTGTACAGAGTACATTTAACACAGTGTATGAAGAACCTATCAGTTACTCCATGAATACCTTTTAAGTACCAGATTCTGTATGATGTATACCTCGTCTTGTTGTTGTTAAACAGGTTGTTTCCTGTTCGTGTCCTGAAGCCTGGACAGGAGAGTTCTGTGAGACTGATAAGAATGAATGTGAGGAGGACCCGTGTTATCCAGGAGCGGCGTGTACAGATATGGTAGCACCTAAACATGGCTTCGAATGCGGACCATGCCCCAATGGTCTGGATGGGACTGGGGAAAAGTGTTATGGTCAGTAGGACCAACATTTTCCGTTTTTCCTAATTATAATAAACACATTTTGTATTATATTAGTTCTTGATAAGTGTTTATCGTTTTTTTTTATCAAGCAGCTTAGGCCAAGGACATTACAAAGCGGTAGGAAGTCAGAAAAATATGAATGTGCACATCACCAATATTGTAATGTCAATGATTTTACGGACTTCCACCAGACCAGATCAAACCAAAATGTAGTCCCCGTCCTCAAATTACAACCAACTGGCTATTTGCCTTCCAAAAATGTCTGTTGACTCTTTAATGCAATGGTGTTTGCAAGTGCCTTTCTAATATTATGTCTTTTCTTTAATTTTGCAGATATCAACGAGTGTGTCCAAGGTCAGCTTTGTGAACAGCCCCATAACTGTGTGAATATCCTGGGCAGCTACACCTGTGGCTGCGACCTTGGTTACACCCTAGACAGCAATGGCCTCAACTGTACTGGTAAGCTACGGAGTTGTATCTTATTTATTTTTTAAATTATTTGTTTCAACTTTGCCACAAGGACAGGACAGAGGGAACAGGCGGTGCCTTTTCGAGGCACCCTGTCCAGATAAAAACATGCATAAATCTAAAATACAACTAATAACAAATACAAATAATCACTAACAAAATTCTTAAGGTAAGTAGTAAAACAAAAACAAATGTAATAACTACGATAACATAGGTATAAATAGCAAAATATAAGTAGAGACAGTAATGATAATAGTTATGATAGCAGTAGTAAAATATAAATTGAGATCTAAGAACAGAGGGTGTGCCAGCTGTAGATGTTTTGCTGATAAAAAGAGTTGAGAGATATCATTATATTGCAATCTAGAAATTGCATTCTTTGATAGCCAGTAGAACAATAAGGTCTAAAGTACTATTTACCAGATATTTTTGTCCAGCCGAACTTTGTTTTCACTATAAATACATCTCATTCTTTTTTCACAGGCAGAAATACCATATCAAACTGTATATTTTTTCTCTAGATATAAACGAGTGTGGCATTAGTACAGCTGATTGTGCAGTTGAGGCGACATGCACCAACACAGAGGGCAGCTTTACCTGTACCTGTACTGCCGGATATACTGGTAATGGGACCTACTGCGCAGGTGATTACTTTACCTTATACCTTTACTATAAAACATAAAAACAATAATTAATCTGACTGTGTTTACAAGAAACTGTTGTAAAACTGTATACGAATCAAAACCAGTGATTGCTGTCCAGAAGAAGATGACAGACTGTCACCGAAACGTTGGATGCAAAACCCTTTTTCTCGGCAGAACCCTCTGAAACACTTTTTCTCCCAATGTGGGAAATCTATTTCATTTTGACCTATAATGAGATCAGAATAAATCCGAATGTTGGAAACAGAAACAATCAAATACTATGTTATTAATTGTATAAATCATTTCATTCCTATCCTTTTTCAGATGTTGATGAATGTACGACTAGTGCCTCCTGTGATCGCAATGCAGTATGTGACAACACTGTTGGATCCTACACATGCACATGTAAGGCTGGCTATGAAGGCAGTGGACGCAGATGTGAGGGTAAGTTGTATCTACTCGTTGTTACTGTCCTTCTGAAGCTGTATGTCTTACGATACAATTTTATAAGTAGAAAGTAGGACAGTTGTTTTAACATGATCCAATATTATTTCCTCTTGACAAACTTGATAGGACATGTATTTCCAAACTTTTACAGCAGAAATTCGTAACAACAACAAACTACGAACATACAGATTACTTAAACTACATACAACGAGGAAACTATTTTTGCGGTACAGAATAGCCACTACAAGACTTCGGATTAGCTCAAACAAACTTCTTGTTGAAAAATGTAGACACTACCATATTCCCCTGCAACAAAGAATTTGTCATTACTGTAACCTAAGTGAGATTGAAGATAGGTCATTTTTTTCTGCACTGTACTCTATATGATAATAAGATAAAGATTCTCTTCAATTGTATGCAAGTTACTTATAGTTTTAGATTTTTACATTTAAAAGAAAAATTCACACTCCTCATGAAACTCGATAATCCCTGTACCATAAGCTTCATATGTTTTATACTTACAACTGTCTTAAGAAGCGAGAAGAAGCAGAACCTGTACATATGTAGTTTTACTATAGATATATTTTAGTTTACCATCGCTATTTGCCGTGACCTGTACTTAGTTCCCAACGAGCAAAAATGTACAATAAGCGTTTTTCATTCTTTAATCATTAAGGGTAATGGTACTTTAGATTTAGACTCGGTAGCAGTTGTATAACCACTATGTTTTTGGCCTCCATGTTGGAAAGAATATGCAATTAAGGATCATCCCTGTAGTATTGATAACCATTCAAATTCGTTTATCTTATCCTTTAAAGACAAAGATGAGTGTGTTGATCCGGACATCTGCCACACAAACGCAAGATGTACCAACTCCATCGGCTCCTACAGCTGCAGCTGTAACTCTGGTTACCGCCGCAAGGGGGCAGTGTGCACCAACGTGGATGAGTGTGAAGAGCAACTGGACAACTGTAGCCCGGGGCAGGGGATCTGTACAGATAACCCTGGGTCCTATAGCTGTGCGTGCAGGGGTGGATATGAAGGAGACGGGATCACATGTCAAGGTTTGTTACGGTTTTCTTTGAGGTAGACCTGGTGCAATTTTTCTAATGATTTCATTCCCATCCCGACTGAATTAGTCTTTTGTAAGGTAGATTAGCCTCATATTATGTTTATGGTTATCTAACAGTAGGAACCAGACGCTGTAACTTGTACACATGTTGTGCAGTAACGTTATTTCCTAATGTACCTGGTACATTGCATTGTTTAGTAAACAATGTGAAACATATATGTAATATGGCCATTGCGATAGACCTATTTTATACCATTTCAGATTTTTTTGTGAACAGTTCACCATTAGTTGCAACATGACATTGACTTGCTGTGCCTAGACTTTATTAACTCAAGTGCCTGATGGCATATCGAGGAGCAAACTTCAACTCCCTTCTATCAGCTCATAGAAAATGAAAACCCAGAATCATTGAATAACAGGCACTATCAGTTGATGTCGAGGGTATTTTTTGCAATAAACATTATTCAATATGCAACTTTATTGCTTCGACGAAATGCTGTTGTCATATAGTTGGCAGATTATGTGTTTTTATATCACATGGTTAGTTAAACAATAATCGAGTGATGATACTCTTGTAACTGAAACTGGTACCAATATTTAGATATCTAATTTACTTGACGGTGGCTCTTCAGATGTTGACGAGTGTTCAGATGCTGCTCTGAACAACTGCACTGAGAACGCGGATTGCACCAATACGGAGGGCTCTTATAACTGCCTGTGTACAGAGGGGTATGAAGGGATCGGTACAGTCACTTGCACTGGTAAGTTTTAAAGATTTTACTCTTAAGTCAAATTCTAAAAGGAAGAAAATTTGTGATATTTGTATTGTGCCCATGTGGTGGCATCAATCGCCAAGACCCTAGGCTACCGGGCAGGACATGGGATGGTCACGGGTTCAATTACTGGCAAGACGCCGTGTCCTTGAAAAAAGGCATACTAAGTACCTTTGTCACTTCACCCAGGTGTAAAATTTGTACATGACTTTAGCTGGGCAGGTTAAGGCAGTGGAGGGAGATGGATGGGCTCCACCTCCTAACATCGTGCCCTAGTCGATAACCTATTGCCCCTGCGGCCTAAAAAATGCTATGATGATTATGATGATGATGACTGGTTTATTCTCATAAACAAATAAATAGACATACAGGTTTAAAAGTCGGTGGCAGCCTAAATGGCTGAATTGTAGGCTTTTTTTACAATTTGAAAACTTGAGAATGTTATCAATAGAGAATTCAAAAAACTACATATACATAGAAAATACAATATTAAAAGTACGAAAAGCCTGTTCGGCCAGTACAACAACCAGTATGTTACAGAACTTGCGTATCGTTCAGCAACTTTGTCACATAGTATATAGGGCTCTTAGTGAATCGGACAGTTCTGTGTCTGAGAGTTTGTAGCTGTTTACTCGACCTGGTCGTCCTGCCGGATATGGCCTCACGGCAAGGTGGCAACCAGTTTCTGTAGGTCGGCGATTTCAGCAACGGCTCAGCGAACTTTCTGCACAGTTCATGCCGTCGTTGGGAAAGTGTGGATAGAGAGAGTTCAGACAGCGCCGAGCTGTAGCTACTGTAGTCCTGTCCAAGAATAATTCTGCATGCTCTTCGCTGCACTCTCTCCATTGACTGACATTCTGCAACTGTAAGTCCCGGATGCCACACTTGACACGCGTATTCCAACACGGCGTATAAATCCGATATAGACAAGTACAAGGTCAACTGTGCTCAGACCGTATTTGGACAGTGTCCTTAACATATAGAGCCTTCTGCTTCCTTTCCCTACGATCATTTTGACGTGTTTGGTCCACTTCAGGTTGCTCTTTAGTATGACGCCTAATATGCGAGCAAACTCGATGACCTCCAGCTGTGTGGGACCGACTGTGATCACAGGTGGGGGTGGCGGATGCTTCATGAAACAAAAATCAGAACTTTACATTTTGACGGATTCAAGGTCATGTGGTTGTCATCAGTCCATCTGACTAGACCGTCGACGTCGTCTTGGATGGCGGGTGCCTTGAGCACGTGTCGTGATTCTAATAATGACAGGTCGTCGACATACTAAATAGTGTGCGTTGTTGATTCCTCGGCGGGTACAGCGTCGTTGACAAGTGCCAGGAAGACTAACGGCCCTAGTTTGGTGCCTTGTGGTACTCCGCATGTTAGTGTCTCCCAGTCGGACACAACACCATGATATCTAACCCGCTGGCGCCGCTTAGAGAGAAAGTCAATGGTATGGTACTACCTTTATTATGTCTAGTCTGCCGTGTGCATTACATATACCTTTCTTTTTTTTTCTTTTAATTGTCTAATATAGATGTCGACGAGTGTGGAAGTGCCATAGATAACTGTGCTCAGGAGGCAACCTGCACAAACTCTCCGGGATCTTACACGTGTTCGTGTAACGCGGGATTCGTCGGGAATGGGATTCAGTGTGAAGGTAAGCAGTTTACATTTCTCCCAATGGATGGAAAACATGTAAAAAATCACCATCATCTTAAGTAGATTCCAGTTACATTTTAGAACGCAATCTTTTCATTACTCATAATTCTCTTTCATATGAAAGAAGACAGCCCACGTGGCAATACCACTAGTGATCACCTTTTATACTTATAGTTAGTAGAAACTGCTTACTTTAAGGAACATATACGTTTTATTGAAAAACAGAAATGAGTCATAGTTCCACCTGCCATTTTGCACAATATGTTTGTAAGGATACATAAGAAAATGTAGATAACCCTGCATATCATATGAAGCTAGATTGATTACTACGAATGTTACAACAGAGATGATTTGTTGGTTAATTGGTTAATTAGTACATATAATTGCATTTCGTTTCCGCAGATATTGATGAATGTGTAAGGGGAGAAGCTGACTGTGACATCGACACAAAAGCCGTCTGTACCAACCTAATTGGAGGCTACAACTGTACATGTTATAATGGTTACGAAGGAGACGGCAGGCACTGCACAGGTAGGAACACACCAAGCTTTAATCATTGGTCGCTCGAGTATAATTCAATGCCTTATGTAGCTTGTGTTCTGTGGCAGTGCCAAAAAATATTTAATATTAAAAAGAAATTTTAATAGGGACAAATTATGTAAAAGTAAAGGGTTTGAAGGATTATTAAGAAAATAAGAACTATGGGCCATCAAAAATTAAGAATCAGTGAGGAAGAAACCGATGTGTATATCTGATGTGTATATTCTCCACAGATGTGAATGAGTGTATGACTGACAACGGTAAATGCTCTATGAACTGCTCCAACACTGATGGAAGTTATACCTGTAGCTGTGAGGATGGATACAGGCTAGCGGTCGATGGTTTCAAGTGTGATGGTAAAAAAAAATACGTTTGTACATTTTACCCTTTTACCTTTGATTAAACACGTAGATCGATGACATCTAAAATGATTTTGCGATTGTTTTAAATGCAAAATTAAAATAACATTCAGTACTTTACTTCATATTCAGATTAATTCAATTGCAAGCACGGTATCAAATTTGGCAACTTGACAAGTTGACAAATTTGATACCGTGGAACTTTTCGACCTCCTTCACTATTCCTATGCAAAATTAGCTTTATCTAGCATTATTTTGGCGTTCTGTTTAGCCATCTATCATTATGATTTATTGTCTGGACAACCATTTTTCTTCTTTCGCAATATTTGTTCTTCAAGATCTCTACCTATTCACTTTACATCAATTTTTTCGATTGGCGTTTCTTTCGACACCTTATTACTTTGATAAGGTTATGTACTTTTATTTTGGGGTTTTGTCCCAACAATATTGCCAAACAACCAATAGGCAATATGTTTTTTTCTGGTTAAATGATCGAAACAACAACAACGTATTGCTATAGATATTGACGAGTGTGCAGAACAGCTGGATGACTGTGAACAAGCCTGTACAAACACAGACGGTGGGTTTAACTGCTCGTGCGTCCCAGGATTCATTCAAGTCGGGGATTCCTGTGAAGGTAACGAACTTTTTCACTTTTTCTTTGACATTCAGCCTGCTAAGGTAGTTTTTTGGTAAAATGGGTAGATTAGTGGATTAGAAAAAAAGCATTAGATGTTTTCGGGTCATATATATTATTGTATTAGTTCTCCGAGTGCTTTGTATGGTTGTATGGTTGAAATGTATGTATGGTAAACGCTCCAAGTAGCATCTGCATCCACTACTGAGCAACCTTAGCGGATGCTACTTGAAGCGTTTGGCAGTTTTCACAAATTTTGCAATTACTTGAATAAAAAGTTTTCTGTAATAGAATGATTCAACAAGTTGTTCTTTTCAGCCTCTGTAAATTGCACCAGAACCGTCTGCACGAATGCTGATTGCTTTGTGGAGAATGGAATCGAGAGTTGCCTGTGTTTTTCTGGCTACAACATCACCAACAATGGCACAGTTTGCACTGGTAAGCCTGATGATAGCAGAGTATAATATATTTGCTGGGCTACGAATTCATGTCAAACAACTTTAATCAGCCAAAACAATAATGTATGTTTACTCTCATACAAAAAGAAAAAGAAGCAAGCCCTCAAGCGTATAGTTAGTAGATGTGATTAGCAATGTCGATGTGACTATTTACTAGATTTGTTTCGAATGATCATAATGATGGCAAATTTTGATTGAACATATTGTGTATAGTATTAGAAAAATATACTGAGGTACATGTAGTGAAATTGTTTGTATCACAGACATCGACGAATGTTCCCTTGACACCATGAATGCCTGCGACCAGCTGTGTAACAACACAAACGGAGGTTACACGTGTGGTTGCGACAGTGGCTACATGATTGGTACTGATGGTCGAGCATGCACTGGTGAGATATCATACTTGTATTTGTTTTCTCCAACATGCAGCTGACAAAAACAATAATTTTATGTGTATTACTAAGTGTTTTCAATGTTAAGAGTTAACTATATTTCCATATCAGGATTTTTTTCCCAATGATTGGGAGAGGTTTCTGACTCTAAATTTCTAAGTTGGGCTACGTAATTTCAATCAGTCACGGCATGAGTATGATCCAAATTTGCCATGTTCTGATTGCTTAGTTTAAAAGTAACTTTTTTTAACATTTTGATAGATATTGATGAGTGTTCAGACAGCAGCCTGAACGATTGTGATCCCAATGCATTCTGCAACAACAACCAGGGAGGGTACACCTGTAGCTGCAGACAGGGCTACATCGGCAATGGGACATCTTGTGAAGGTACGTTAACATTCTCTGAGCATTACGAGCAAACTCAATATACCTTACCATCTACCATGACAGTGGCGGCTGTCGGATGTTCTGATCCCTACTCTATCGCAGATCGATTGAATTAAGCCAAAACGGTTTTTAAAAAGTTTGAATGACAAAAATGAGGTACGGCCCCAGGCTGACTTTTTGACGTACCGATGCTCCCAAGCCAACGAATTTGGCACAGCAAAAATCTAGAAGCATCACTTTAAAGTTAAATCATCGTATCGTAAAATTAAATAACTAGGTATCTCAGGAAAAATAAGTACTTGTACATCAGCATCAGATAGCAAAGATACAGTTGTGATATAACTGTTTTAAGCTTTGCATGATATAAACATTGAAGAAGATTTGATGCGCTCGGTGTTTCTATGAAAAGTAAAGGCGCACGGCTCAAATCTTGGAGTTACATCGCTCCAAAAATAAAAGCTGTCTTTGAGGCTGTTAAGTCAGTCATATAAATTGCTAAAGACGATGATGTGTTTTGTTATGTGTCAATTTTCACGCAGATAACGATGAGTGCACATTTGGCAGTCGTATTGAGAATTGCAGTGCGAATGCTCAGTGTTTCAACTTCAACGGTGGTTTCAACTGCACCTGTCGGGACGGGTATACAGGAGACGGCTTCTTCTGTGCCGGTAAGGTCTTCTTTGCTTCCACCCTTCATTTGTCACAAAGTGTACATTTTGAAACTCAAAAAAAGATATACATGTATGATGTAAATATATGCCGTTTTGGCTTATAAACATAGATAACAATGATCAATAGATTTTCTAAAACATTTCAGGCACCAATTGGTATTTTTGATGGTATTGTCCATAGATGTGGATGAGTGTACCGGTGATTCAGCACACTGCCATGAGCAAGCAGTATGCACAAACGTCCTGGGCAGCTTTGAATGTACCTGCAAAGATGGGTACAACGGCACCGGAACAGTATGTGAAGGTACATAAAATAGATTAACCTCGTCCGGTAAAAATACCTGGCGATCTTTAATGGTGTCGTTTAAAAACAACATGGGAGAATATAATTAGGGTGACATCTCAGCAATCAGCTAAAACATTGTAATACCGCTGAATGATAACATTGAAAAACATTTGATGTAGTTTGGTTAATATCCCTTATTAAAGATCTGTGTTATCCATGTAACGATATATACATAGTATAGAATAGTATAGTATGTAAATGATGATGCTGTACAGGCAATGCCTACCTGTAATAACTATCAATTTGCAATACTGAAGGATTTGCAAAATCATTACTTTAAGGATTACCAACATGATGAGTTTTATTATGTTTCAATGACTGACTATCTTGTGAATTTCGTTCAAGACATTGATGAATGTGAAGACGGGATTAGTCAGTGTGATGAAAATGCAACTTGCACCAACACTGCTGGCTCCTACACCTGCACATGTGATGATGGGTACATAGGTACAGGGAGAACCTGTACAGGTAAGCACTCGTGACTTGTGCGACCTTCACTCCCAGACCATGATTCAACTCTTTAGAGTTAAAGAAAAAAAATGATGCCTTCAGAAAACTTCTAAGAGCATAAAGCGTTTTGTCTTAAAACGTTTATTCTCTATCTTTAATCCTTACATCATTCCCAATCCCATCATATGCTCTATTTCTCCATACTAGTCGTGTACGATTCACTACTTAAATGTAATTAATAAGTAAGAGTAGAAACCTTGATCGTGTTAATATTACTGATATGTATGGAAACTGTTAATTTTGTGTTATCTATATACACCCTTAACTCGTTTTCAACAGTAAATAACATTCCAAATGCTCAAATGTTTATCCAAATCTTCTGCCAGATGTGGACGAGTGTTTAAGTGGGCAAAATAACTGCCATGAACAGGCATCATGTCTAAACACGGAGGGCAGCTATGTATGCTCTTGCAATACTGGTTTTACAGGCATCGGGACGTCTTGTGAAGGTAAGCTGGGGTAATTTTTTCTGCCACACCTGCGAATCTGTTGCATAACTTATACCAGTTAACACTTATTTTCATTATTTTCTTTCATCAAGTAGTTTTTTTAGCTTAAAAATTCTAGAACACTTCATGTTTCCTCCACTCTTGTAAAACTATTTTTTTTCTTCGGGGGACTCATTACCTAATGTTTGTTTCCCTTAACTTTTTATATTGACGTATGTAATTTTAATTTATAAACCATTACAATTTTCTATGATGAATGTAATTTCTATAGTAATATTCTGTAGTAATTTCATCAGACATAAGTGGTGTCACAATCAAATCAAAATGACCTTATCTTTTCCAAAATACAACTGGATAGACTTTTTCCACTCCCTTAAAAATTCATTTTTGGAAGTAATATATTGACACAGAGAATATTGCATTTCTGATGACGCTGATGCTAATAATTTGGTTTACCCTATTTCAGATGAAGATGAATGTAGAGAAGGCACAGATACCTGCACAGAAAACTCGGTGTGTACGAACACCGTCGGTTCCTTCACTTGTCCCTGTAAGTCTGGTTACTTCGGGAGTAACTGTGTGGATGTCCATGAGTGTGAAGACGGCATTGACAACTGTCATGACCACGCAGACTGTACAAACACCCCTGGTTCCTACAGCTGCACGTGTCATTCTGGTTACTTTGGAGATGGGACGGTCTGTACAGGTGAGAGAATTTTCACAGTTTGATACAATAGTTGCTTGGCATGACCTGATAAAGTGCATGTCAGAAATTTATGTGAATCAACAATTGCCACGACTTGTGTCTAGGGCACAGATTTTAAGCAAGTATACATGAATCTAAAGATGTGTAAACTGTTTGAATATACCCTATGTAGACCAGTATAGGCAGACTTTAATGACACTAACATATAGTTTGTTCTGTAGTCATGGGAACAGATTATAATTGTTTTAGGTTTTGCAATAGCTTTAACATTGTAATTATTCTGGTGACGAATGCCTAAAAGTACATCTTATGACTTTAGTATCCACATGACAAGGTTGTTTAGTTTTAGTGGCTAAATACGTGATTTCTTTCTTGCATCAGATATTAATGAATGTGAAAACGGAACGACTCAGTGTGATAGAAACGCAACGTGCACCAACACTGTCGGCTCCTATACCTGTACATGTAATACTGGGTATACAGGCACAGGGAGAACATGTACGGGTAAGTTATAATCCTTGTTTTATCATCATATTATATCATAACTGATTCCTTCGTTGGTACATTTACATGCACATACCTCCAGCTTAGCCCCCGGTTATCTACTCAATACATGCATTTGCAACAACCAAATACACAACTATCACACTAGACAAGCACAATTATTACATAGACCCAACTACACATCCAAAGCAGGCCAACGTACATTTGCATATAGAGCGGCAGTAACTTACAATTCACTAAACACTTACACAAAACAAGCACCCACCCTTAAATCTTTTAAAGAGAGACTGAAATATGACTAGTACTGACCTTCTGACACTCCACTCCTTTCGAAAAATGACCGATTATAATTAACCCTCAACAGAACACCTTCCCGGACTGATTAATCTGTACACCTGGGGTCCGCGCGGACCCCAGAGCAGTTTTTTGCTAATTTTTAGAAATTATCAACATGCTACCAGCTCAATTGTTTTGCAAACTGATGTGGGAACCTCTGTGTCCACATTACATACAAAAATCATACATTTTGAACTTTTTCTATTTTTTGGTGAAGAAAAGAAGACAAGAAGAAATACCCGATTTTTAAACCCATTTCAGACTGAAGGGGCTTTTGAGGCCCAACTTTGATCTCAGATAGCGGCTAAACGGTTTGCGCTAGAAGTATCAAATTTGGAGACCTTTCCTAAAATGTCTCTGGAAAAAAGTTCATATTAGTTTAATACTAGTAAGTTGATGTTTTTTTGTGTTGCCATGGCAACGGGTAGTTTTTTTGAAAATAGAAGTAATTTTGTTTTTAACATAAACATTTTCTGAGTTTTATATAAAATTACACTTCTTTTCCAACATTAATAATTAAATATAAGTTAAATCATTTAATATGCATAGAATATGCTAATTTGATGACGTCATTGGTCAAAATCCAATATGGCGGACTATATTATTAGCTCTGACGTCATATGACGTCATTATTACACCAAAGTTATTAAAATTTAATTCTATTACTACACCATTCTCTGAAAACTTGGTAGACATACGATGAGTGCATAAAAACATATAAAAACGGAAATAAGGTAATGTATAAGAACGCCAGTGTATCCATTATGATCGAAAGCCGGCTGGGGTCCGCGCGGACCCCAAAAGAAAATCAGATATAATTTTTTTCATAAATGGTAGAAACGGAGTTTTCTGCACTGTATTGAGAGACAACTTTATGGGTGACAATTACCTAAAATTTCTGAAAAAAATCTTTAGAAACAAAAAAGATATTACAGAATATATAGTGCTGGGGTCCGCGCGGACCCCAGGTGTACTGTTTAGGGTTAAAGTATTTTTTGTTATTTACTTGATTTGTATATATGGTTTTTTACTACTATGTTCAAGTACTTTATTGTTTATGATCTACTAGTCCTAAGTTTGTATTATTTGAGCTTGACCTCTGACATCTCACCTCCGACTGTATTTTAATTTATGATTTCACTGTTATATTCAATTTTTATCCTTTAATATTGCTTTAATTTCTATATGGGCTCCCTTGGAAATCAGTCCCAAGGGGACTGAAGGGACCACCCATGTGTCTTGGAGATTAATAAATAGATAAATAAATGTGCAACAACTTCTGGGAGACGAGTACAACCAGCTGACAGAGAAGCAGATCACCAACCTTGCTCGCGACAAGGGGCAGTTAAAGGGATCTAGCAGCCGACCGATTATGATAAACAAAGACAGTTTCTGGAACATTGAGTCTGTTACAGACATTGTTGGTTTATACATTAGCAAAGTTATTTTGTCACAACCATTTTGTCAACATGTGAAAACTTTCGATGTCAAAATCACTTACTTATTTTACTTTGGTCGAGCTCCCGCTAGAACCAATCCCGAAAGCACTTGCCATCCCTTTCTGTCTATCATCATGGACCGGAGCTCCCTCACCTCAGTAAGGCCGGCATCTGGCTTGAGGTTGTCAATGTAGGTTATCCAGGGACTGCCCCGATTTCTTTAGCCTCTTGTAGGCTCCCAGAGGGTACGTTTGGAAGTCAAAGTATCAGGATGTCTGACACAGCGCGCTGCCAGCTTCATCCTGTAAGTTTTGTTGACAAATTTGCCTACTTTTTTTCTAGATGTTGATGAGTGTGCAACACAGTCTGCCAACTGTGACGACAACGCTAACTGTACGAACACTCCCGGCTCCTACAGCTGCATGTGTGATTCTGGTTACACTGGAAATGGTACTGTCTGCACGGGTGAGAAAAGTTTCCAACGTGTTCATAAAATATTTGACAGTGATGTGTTTCAGACAAAAATATTTATTGCATGATTTTGTTAGATTGCATGATTTTGCATTATTGGATGATGATGTTTTTTCTTAGATTCTTATCTACTTGTTCATTTTGTATTAGGCCAAAAGCAAATAATTTCTACGGCTGACTTCAGAGCGCGCATTGATTGTCGCCTGATTTTGGAAAATAAAAGACAACAAATTTTGTTGCCTTCTGAAAGAAATCAAAATATGAAGAGAGGAGCCAAGACAAGGCTTTAAAGCAGTGATGTACTTCATCCGTTTGTGTGATGTTCCCACTGAACTAAAACCACGTGTACAATGATTGAAAACTTTTATTTTTCAGTGACAGTAAAGTGACAATAAATGTTGTAATAGTAGGCAGTAAACGTAACACAATATTGTTATAATTTCTTGTTTAACAAGGTTCATAAAGTCACAATTTGTAAAATGTAGGAATTTTGTTTTTGGCCCACCTTGTATTTTATATGGAATATGGCATCCATAAGATTTACTTGCTGTGGCCATACATCTGTACGTTGCTGAAGATCAGCCGTCTCCAGTTGACCTGCCTGTGCTTACACAAGTAATGACATGTAGCATTGCCAATAAATACGAATACAGAATACAAATACCATTTCAAAGTTCTGTGAATGAACATTTGACACAATCCGTACTTGAGATAAATTATAAAAGATGGCAAAGATAGTAAATACAAATAGAGAAAAATATTGAAATAATTCCTGATATAAACCACACTTACAGCGGTGACAACAGAAAACACCCGAACTCCAACAACAACTCCAACACCAATGACTGTCACTCCAGAGCCGCGTGAGTTAAAAAAAATTATTCTATTTCATATCATCTCCTTAATTCAGTTGCTTTTGGTAGGAATGGAACGTACCTTTTGTTATCATAGACATTTTTTTTGTTTTAAATTCTACATTTTTACATGAAAGCCACGATATGTTGTACCAATTCATCTTATTATTTATTATGTTATTTTTTACTAACGGACTCTGAATTTTGGTATTTCATAGCAAAACCACGAAAGTTTGTACCAGCCCAAATAACAATGAAGATGGAGTTTCGGACTCAATACAATGACAAGACTTCAGCAGAGTACATGGAATTATCATCACAGTTGAAAACATCAGTAAGTGAACAGAATTACTTATTTGTGTGTCCAGCATATCAACTTGCCACTAACTGTTTCAATCTGTATTTCATCTTGAGGCGATGGTACTAAATGTCGTTAGATCATCGTAACGCTAGGAATTAAGATGGTGTTGTTAGCTGTCAACTCAAAAGCCCTATTATTGCATGACACGGCCCATTTTCAATTTATAGCTTATTTAATAGAACCATAGGTCGTTTGGGTTGCATACATCTAGTACATATATTCATAATCACTTATTGTTGACCTTTTGTCATCTTATCACCGCTAGCTCTCTGTCATCTACACCGGAATTCCTGGGTTCATCGAGATTATCATTCTTCAATTAGTGTAAGTAGGGGCAATATCACTTTCCAGTCCATTATATTGTAGTATGCAACTTGTATGCAACTTTTAATTCGTAGAAATTTCAGATACTAGAAACCATGCTAACTTTAGACACCTAGACCAGTTACCAGATCCAAAACATTTCTAGGCTATTATTGCATACAGTTACTTGTATGGGCTGCTATGTTGCCATTTGTCAAAGTATGTTGCTACATCTTTGTTGTTAACCTTTAGCGAGGGTAGTGTTAAGGCCAGATATGCCGCTGTTTTCGCCGTGGAAGAATCTCAACCTGACAGCATCATCCAGGATATGGCTAAGACGAACCTTCAGCAGGCGATCACTAGCGGCAGGTTTGACCCCGCGCTCCAGGTCACCAGCAGTAACAGCCTGCAGCCGATTGTACTTACGGAAGAAGGTGGGTATTAATGGTAGACACCGTGAAACACCAACAGCAGTATATGGTCACGCTTATTGACAGTTTAAGTTGTTGAAAGGAGTCACGATCTCTTTATATCTCCCCATGACATTTCTAAAAGAAAATCTCTTACGGTATGTTGACAGCACATGGGTAGGAAAGATTGACAGAAGGTCAAAGGTTCTCAGAAATTGGCAATGAGCCTGTAAAAATGGGGGGGGGGATAGGGGAAGTCAGAAAAACGAGGATTGCATGCTTTCATGGTGTCTGAAATCTCCGATTTCTTATTCAATTACAATCTGGTGTAGAGTTGGAGCAAGTGGTTGGAGGATTCTGCCAGGATGTGCAGTGTGGGGAGGGGGGCGTGTGTTCACGGAATGAGCCGTACCCCGGAGCTGTCATAGCGGAG